ATATAGTGATTACAACATACAAAACTTGACAGGTTTCACTGTGGTAAACTACTCAAAAATATAGCAAAAAAACTTCATAATCTTTTCATTTTTGTCTGATTTTATTCAGACTTTCACCAATCTGCTTATCTAATTTTTTTGCTATATTTTGGAGTAGTTTACTACAGTGAAACCTGTCTATAAAGACCCAAGGGATACGAGAAAAGTGGTCTTCATGTACAGGTTCCTTTAGTAAATGTTTCAATGAGAAACCATTTTCAAGGGAAACAAAAATTGGGGTCTTTGCAGACAGGTGGTCTTTCTATACAGGTGATCACTAAAGCAGGTTTAAATATATTAAGATAGGATTTCCTTTTACCGGTAACCATAACTTCTTGTATAAAATAATCATGAATTATATATGTTCACATAATTATCCAATAAAAAACCTCAAAGTCCTGCTAATAGCATACATATAAACAATATATACAACTAACATATTATACACAACATGGTTATGTAGAATTGCATACTTAATGAATAAAGAGTACTGTTCAATAACACTGGGATTTTTTAAAAGTGAAGCAAACTTTAGTATAAAACGGCTTTGGCCCTGTAAAAAAAGGGTTACATGTTTACATATTAATATAACAATAAATATAAATAAAACAGACTACATGAATATAACCTCCAATTTGATAAAGAGTACTGTTCAATAATCCTGAAATTCACTAAACATGAAACAGCATGAGTAGGTGTAAAAAAGAAGAAGCTTTATAGTCCAATTAAAAAAAAAAGAAGTTCCATCTAATTACGTCTGGGTGTGAAATTACTGTATCATTTCTTATTCACTTACATATAGTCCTCATAAAACCTTGTAGCAATCATAAATCTACTTCCTCAAGCTTGAAATGCAGGCCTGTAATGAACCACAAACTAAAATGGATTTAAATGACTTTCATTTCAAGAAGTACAAGCAATTAATAGCTAAATTTCATTTCACTTATAAAATCATGAAGCAGTCGTCTTTCTACTTCCTCAAATTTTAATTAGATCCTGGATTACTCATCATTATGTTAGCTGGTCTGAAATGTCCTACACTTATAGTGGTACATGTGTATAAAACTTCCATGATGTATTTTACTTTTGGTTTCAATATCACTTTATTAACAATCATGATTATTACGAACTTGTATAGATACAAATATTAAAGGACAAGTTAAACATGTCGTCTGTTTGGGGTCACAAGGGCATTAACTCCATGTCAAGGTAGTACCGCTCAATGCCATTGTGGCTACACACGATATTACATAAATACGAAATGGATATATAGAATTTAGAAACAATACATGCGACTGATGTGTAAGTAACATCATGAAGAAAATAAATAAATTTTTATCTGATATCTACATTCATGCAAAAGCTGTGATCAAGTATGAATGATGACTTAAGCACACTAAAGAAACAGGAACGAAAGGAATGACAGGAAATAGAAGAAAAGGGAGAAAAAGTAAGAGGAAGAAGAAGGAGATAGGAGCATTGGAGGAAAGAGAATAAGAGAGAGAAAGCGGGCAGAAGAAGAAAAAGAAGAAAAGAGAGAGAAAGCGGGCAAAAGAAGAGAAGAAAAGAGAGAGAGAGAGAGAGAGAGTAGAAGGAGCAGAAACAAATGTGAAGAAAAAAAAAGAGAAAGAGGAAGAGAACGAAGTAAGAAAAGGAGGAGAAAGAGAAGAGGGGAAGGAAAGAAGGTGTAGAGAAAGAGTAAGAATGTGAAATATGCATGCATTAAAACTTTACAAGGATGTGGCCTCATAAAATCAAATGGCATTCATATTTAAACTTCCTCTGTACAATGTATTACTCATTGCTAATTTTGCTGGGTTTGAATGTTAATTTGCTTCAAGAAGTAGACATTCAACTGAAGGACCTACTCAATGGCAGTTTCATATCATTACATGATACAAATAGACAAACTAGAAGCCACAATGTAGTAGAATGAACAGACAACTTGATGACAATAACTACAAGAATGTACTTGGGGTAAAGGTCATTATGCAACATTGTTATAGTTTCAGTTGAATCATTTCTAAAGTGTATACAATTAGACTGGTAAAAGATAGTGACAATGTGTATTGCTCGTTATTCGTCTCTACTCTTCACGAAACCATTTTTAATCTAATTGGCTATTCTAATCAGACTTTTGAAAAATTAATCTTGAAACATCAGTATTCCCTTTTTTGTTGTTGATATGTTCAGCTGCTGTAATGTATATTTCATTGATGAAGACATCTATTGTATCTCCTTTTATTTCTTTAATTTAAGACTGGATATTAACGATTTGTATTTTAACTGATTGAATCGAAGTTTTCGATGTGACATGCTTTATTCTACTTAAAATTATTTCCATGTATATCTGTTTGATCTGCACATGTCTGAGACTAAAATTTCTAAAGTATAAATAAGGAAATATAGTCCGGGTAGCAAGTCAAGGGTATTCCAAAAATAAACATGTATAATAAAACCTTCATCATTAAAAAAAAAAAGCATTTTTTGTCCCTTTTTTAATTTTATGAGCAAAGACAGCATTTATTCATATGTCAGATTCTTCAAAGAATCCTCTATCTTGGGACTGGTATGGTGGTGGTAACCTGTAGAGAGGCGAAGGTCTATCATCAAGTGATTTGGAGTCAGCTGCATCAAGGAAAACAGGTTGAGAAGTGTATGTTGGAGGTTCCATTTCATACAAGTTATTCTCAAAGTCATCAAAGCCTAAGTTCACCTGAGCGTAGTCGGGCAGCCTGTACTGAGGTGGTGGTGGCCTCAGCTCACTGGAGGGCTTGTGAGGTTTGCGCTTAAAAGGCCGAGATGACTTCACAGCATCAACGTCGATCGGGAGAATGACAGGATGCGAAGCTCCACGGGGTTCTATATCATTGAGCTCTCCGTCCAAGTAGATGGGCTTGCGGTTCTTTGCGTAGATCGGTTTCTCTTCCCGCAGCAAGAACTCCTCCCCGCCTCTCTTACGCTTGTAGCAGCAGCAGAAGATGAGGAAGCAGATCAGCAAGAGGAAAGACACCAGAGACGCTGGAAGTACTGTCACCAGAAGGAGGTTGGTCCCTGTCACAGAGGACTCTGTCACATTGGTCACCGGTGGCTCAGTTGTCACAGAACAGAGATTTAAGAATATCCTTTCAATATCTGTTATGGCATTGTTTGGCAATAAAGCATCTTGAAAGGCATTTGATGGCGTTCCATTTAAATAAGCTAGCCTGCTAAATAGATTATCAATGGTTTCATAGTCACAATACTTTGTTGGAATAGTTTTGTTGGAATATGTCATGACTACAGATCCTTCAGATAGTGAAGCAACACTGAAGGCATCAGTGTTTTGATCTTTGAGAAAACTGGCAACATCACCACACAGAGAAACAATGTTTTGACTGTCATCCACAAAACTTTGGAAATCATTCTCAAGGGTGATAACAAATTCATGATTATACTCCAAAGATCGTTTTTGCACTTTGACAACAAATGCATCATATGCCACCAGCCCCTCTGAATCTGTTGCAGACAAGAGATACTCATTTCTAAAGATTGTGAGGTTACTGTCTAAAGGTACACCAGCTAGAGTCTGCTGATTATTAACTAGCTGAAGCCAGTTGGACAGACTCACTGGCTGGTTGTCCGTTGTGAGCAGGTCAAGCTGAAGGTCAAAGGTCAAACCATCCTCTGGATCAAGGAAAGTGTCTTCTGGGATGGAGAACTGTAGAATATCTCCTAGTGCCACACGGATCTCGTCGATGGGATGCTGGATGATTGGAGCCTGGTTCTCAGGCTCTGTGTAGGTAAACAAAAAAGAAGTTTTATGGAATGAATGTGAATAAAAAGCACTATTAAATTGTGAAAATGCCGACAGGTAAAAGTTACAATCCAATGTTAAAATAACATTTGAAATATTTATACAATGTTCTTTCATCCTCTATATGGGTCACATAAAGCACTCATATTGACTCATACAGGTACCCAATGGACATCGACAAAGACAAATAGTAAATTTTCTTCTTTTCTCACATTCATTATAAGAATGTTAATTATTGAAAATCATTAAACAATGTATTACTTCAAGGAACTTTACAATCTTTAGAATGAGACCAACAACAACAAAAGAAAAAGCTCACATGAAATTGAACGGAAGAAATTATAGTTACCTGTTGTGGTTTCTGTCGTAGTTGTTGCTGGTTGAGTGGTAACAACTGAAGTGGACACAACTCCAACTTGACTGGAGTATGATGGAGTTGGTTGAATGTCGGAGGTAGACACAAGAAGTGTTGACATCGGCAAGGAAACATCTGAGCTGGGAAGAGAAGGGAGTACTGAAGTCCGGCCAGCTGTAGAAGATGTCTGTGGAAAAGCAGGACTAGAGGACAACATGATAGTGGTGGATGGCAGCACCCCTGGAGTGGAAGGAACTGATGATGAAGATGTAGGACTAGGTGAGGAGCTCATGACTATCTCTTGAGTTGATGAGAAGAACCTGGAAGGAACACTAGTTGACATTACTTCTGATGAGGTACTCAACTGGGGTGATAAGGTTGATACCAGGCTCTCCGTCACAGGTACAGAACTGGTCATTAAGGATGGGACAGAAGTGGTCCGAGAGTCAGAGAAACTACTAGGGAGATCTGGTGTTGCTGAAGATTTGAGAGAATATTCTGTTTGGGTTGTAGAACTGTACTGCGTACTTGGGGAAATAATAAAAGATGTTGACATAAATGATGATGATATCGATGGCCGGACAACTGTAGAAGACTGCATGTTTGATTGTAGGAAAGACGACCCTATGATGGCACTGGATGAAGATGTCAATTGCTGACTAGCCAACGTTCCAAAGAAAGACGATGTTGGTGTTTCACTTTGGGATTCTGAAAAGAACAATGTTGTTGAGCTGTAATCAGATTCTAATCTTAGGCTTGTGGTTACCTGTTTGACAGAAGTGGTAAGTTCAGAGGGTGCTAGAGAGTCACTCACAGAAGAAACAACAGGTGCTGTGGAGCTTCCAAATGATACAGATGAAAATGTTGCTGTCCAAATGTACTATATACTGGAGAATCAGTTGCACTTGAGCTGTTCAGTGTGGAAAACAAAGATGTTGAGAAAGTGAGTGTTTCCTGGCTGGCAGTCGTGCTTTGTCTGGAGAGCGAAACACTTGTGAAAAAAACACTGAGTGTCGAGAAACTTGCTAATGATGAAAAAGAAGAGAGTGATGTTGTCAGACTTGTGCTCAAAATTGGAAAATCACTTGCACTTGATATCTCTGAGGTTGATATCTGTGAGGCTGCTGAAAAAACAGTCGAGTCCTGACTGATTGTCATAGTTTGTTCTGAGGGTGCAAGAGAGAAACTAGGTGCTGAAGGACTTCCAAACGTTGTAGATGAAAATGATGGTGCCATCCTTGTGCTAAGAACAGGGAACTCGCTTGCACTTGAGCTACGCAGTGACATAAGTGAACTTTCTGATAGAATAGGTGTGCCAACAGAAGTTGATACTCCAGACACAAGAGTTGTTACAGCACTTACTGTAGAAATGGCAGGTGTTTGTAGAAAAGTTGTTGGGATCATTGTCATTCCGGTCCCTGTTGCACTAGTTGCCACAATTCCACTTGAAATGTATGATGACTGTATCTGAGATATGATTTCAGACATGCTAATGAGTGAGGTGGTAGAGGGAAAGGAAAATGAAGTGGATGCTGATAGTCCAGTGGTCTGTAGAAAACTTTGTGTCACATAAGGGATCTCAGATGACAGACTAGGAGGCAGGGATATTTCAGGAGACACTGTTGAGGACAGAAATTTTGACAGAGAGGTGCTGTCTATGAAACTACCAGTGCTAGAGAGATTATCAGAGAGTAAACTGGAAAATACTGTGATATCCTCAGTGCTGGAAAGTGTGGACACTTCAATCAGTGACGACACAGAAGTTGTATCAGGTATCACAATACTTGAGGAAATCATACCTGAAGTCATTTCCATGGTGGACGGCACCCGCTGAGTTGAAGTGTCCAATACAGAGATAACTGTACTTGTTGGAGATGCAGTGGATGATGTTCCAGGGCTTGCAGAAAAAATGGATGACTCGGTGATTGAGGGTGATATGATTGCTGTGGGAGTCATACTTTGAACAATCTCAGATGACTGGATTTCACTCGGACTATGTGAGGTAAGAAACACAGTACTAGCTGTTGAGACATCTTGTGTCAATAATATTTCTGAAGAACTCAAGGTTGTTGTTACTAATCTTGAGGTTACTTCTGTTTGATAAGGTGTTGTGATGATCATTGTTGAAAAGAAACTGCTCTGTATTTGTGAAGACAATAGAGTTTCTGTTGACAAAATTGGTGTAATTGATCCTCCTGAATTCGTCTCAACATGTGAAGTTGATGTTAAACCACTTGATGTCTGAACAGATCCAGTGGATGACGGAGTTATATCAGATGACAGACGGGAAGTGGTCAACATCTGTGAAGAAAATGATGACTGCATTGGTGGCAAAGTGCTACCAGAAGATGTTGAAGGAGTCTGGGGTAGTGTCGATATCTCTGTTGTAGTAAAGCTAAAGGAACTTCTTCTCTCAAATTCTGAAGTTCCTACAAGAGTTGAACTAAGAATCGGAGAAGACATTCTTGAAAACTCTGTAGATGGAAGGAGACTTCTACTCCTGAAACCTGAGGAAGTTTGAAGAATGACAGTAGTCACTGAATCAGAGCTCAGAAGGGTAGTCAGAAAGCCAGATGAAAAGACACTTGAGATATCAATTTCACTGGACGTTGCTAACATCATACTTGCAGTGGATTGACTATAGAGCATCACTGATGTAATGGTGGTCGAGGATACTTGAACAGATTCATCAGAGGACATACTTGGTGATTCAGTCACAAGCAATGAAGTTGACATGATTTTGGTTGACTGGAATAAACTTGGACTGCTAACCAATACATTTGTACTCTGGAAACTTGGAAAGGCTGAAGTACTAGGTGAAATAACATTACTTGACATAAGCAGAGAGGAACTCACAAATCCTATTGTGGACTTTGAACTTTCCACAGTCGAGGACATTGGTGTTTGGTAGGAGGTATACAAAGTTTGTCTTTGCTGGGATGTAGGAGAGAGCAGTGATATCTGCATTGATGAACTAAACAATACAGTTGTAGGTAAAAGAAAAGAAGTTGAAAGACTTGTCATAAAAGGCAATTGTGAAAGAGATGGTTGTATGCTTTCTGTTCCAATACTTGTCAAAGTGTGTAGAGATTCAGATGGACTGTACAGAGAAATTTGCCTGGAGGAAAAATCCAGTGGAGTTGTTGACAGTACAAATCCAGACATACTGCTTGAAAAGACTGACATTGTCTGATCACTGCTCGATGGTGAAAATAAAAGAGTTGATACCACAGATGATGTTAGCATAGTCTGCATTGACTGAGCAGTGGATGAGATTGAAAGCAAAGAGGTTGCAGTAATGACTGAGGCAGTCTGTGAAGGTTTGGGGGTTGGTGCAATGGTCATTCCTGCCTCTCTCTTTGACCGTCCTCTGGCTTTCACACTGCTATCTCTCGCTTTTGAAATATACCAACTGATCACATCATAACCAGTAGTGTCTCTTAAGTGTCCAGAAGCAATATTTCTGGCCATCACATTTGGGAATTGGTTGATGAGGCTCTGTGTTGCACAGGGAAGCGGCCAGGATACAACAACTCCTTCATTGCTTCCTGCACTGTGTATATTACCTGGACCAGCCGCGACCACAATATTCTTCTGTAACCTATCAATGACACTACTATGCTTGGAGCTCATGCTGAATTCCTCTAAAGGTTGATTAACAAATGGTGCTAATCTGGTTATCAAGGACATCCTGCTGCTCCCATTAAGGTGGTTGATATTAGCATCAAACACTACTGACATCAGAGTCTTTATTTCATTTCTCCTGCACGTAATATGCTCGCTCAGTTGCTCAACTTTATACAACATCTGGTGAGGTCTGGCACCCACACTTCCTAAAATGTCCTTCTTGGTCAAATCTTGAGATGCTCCAAAATCTACGTCAATCGCAAAGACATCTTTGGCTTGGACAGACGATACATTATCGAATGTAGATATTAAAGACACTTTAATCAGATAGAATCCTTTATCTGTGATCAAAGGAACTCCATGGAATGTGTGAGAAGTGTGGTTGAACACAAGCCACATGGGAATGGAGCTGGTCCCAACCTCAGATACCTGTGACATTTAAAGAAGAAACAAAAAGTCCAATGGCTTCTATTGGTAAATCAATAGTGATAAATCAAAATCGATTTTAGCAACTGTCCACTGATTTACATGGAAAAATATAAGTTAAATATAAAAATCATCTTATATTTACCTCATCATCAAAATCAAAACTTCTTTTTAATAGTATATATTTGTATATAATATTCAGTTCTTGTATAGCACATATCACATTATATAACGTCCCTATGCGCTTCCAAAGAGCTGTAGAAATTATTACCCTAGCTTTAGCTCCAGCAGCCATTATCAGCGCAGTGCATTTCAAGGAATAATCCTACAAGGTACCCATTTACAGTACCTCACCTGGGTTGAGTGTGGCAAATGTAGATTAATGTCTTGCCAGTGGACATTAGTGCAGCGGCGGGACTCGAACCGCGGACCTTGTGATCCACAGTCCGGTGACATATCCACTCGACCACGACATCTCATACATGTCACATACATGGTGTTAAATTTGCTAAATGTCTGGCTCTCCCATTTGACCATCATTCCTCCTCTTCTGGTTGTAAACTGGCTGTCCCTTATTATCAATTGGTGATGACTCACAAATATTGTTAAATTTGTTGATGACAACAAATTTCTTTTCATGACACAAACCTAATCAAGTTTAATTTTTAAGTACAAAACCTATTCTATTCAACATTGTGCTTAAATTAGGCATTCTTCAATATTCAATTATTATTTTACACATATATTTAAACCCACATAATACCCACACCCTATTTAAATGCCTCTCAATAATCTTTAAGCCTATATTACCTCATAATGGAATTTATGTTCTGCTAATTTCACTGTTGGATCTGGAATGCTGTAGTTGAAGTACTTTCCAATGACTGCTTTTGTATCATGGAGACCTGCGTCTAGGGATCTTCCTGGATCATGCTGGAGGTTACAGCTCACCAGGCTCCAGTGGAGTCTAACAAAGACACAGCTTAGGGTAAGGAGGAACCTCAAGGTGAAGGAAGACCTGAGAGAAGTCATCGTAGTTTCATCAGGCAATGATGAAATGGTCATCAATTGATCGATGTGTATGCTTTATTACCCTTCAAATCATCCTGTGCTATTTATCTCCTTCCCATGGTATTTTTTTGGATTTCCTCTTACAGAGCCTGTGTCCAAAATAAAAAAATAAAAACCTTAAAGTCACAAATGCAGATTAAAAAGAAACTCTCACTTCGACAGAAATGAGAATGAGAAGAAATGAAAATAAGAACTGCATAAAGCACAGGATAAAGAAACAAAGAAGAATAGGGAAGATGAGAAGATGACAATAAACAAAATTTAAGTATACTATTACTATTACATGTATACTATATAGGCCCAGCAGGTGATAATTCGGCGCTAATTCAGAATCATATCCATAATTTGACCCGTAACTCTGGCGTTGAGATACCCTACTAAAACATACCAAAAAATCAACTAAATCTTCATCAATTGTTCAAATAATGCCTTAGCCTTGGTCATGATTTAAAAGTTGTTATGTTTCTTACCTGTTTCGTGTTAATTTTCTATCTTTTTTTGAGTATTTTTCCTAAAAACTAAGACTTCTAATATACACTTTCTCACAGGATTCACGGCAAACTGCTGCACAATACTTATATAATATTGGATGACCTTGAGTGCGATACAAGAATATATTGCTCGAGCTATGAAAATATTGGATGAGTCAAAGACAAGTCTCTTATTTATTGTCTTATCGGGAGCAATAGGTTCTTGTATCATACGTAAAAACAAAGCCATACAATATTATTATTATTTACCGGTATCTACATTACATGTAGTCTGACTAATATCAATTTGATATTGACAGTTGAAGTTCCTGGATGACTGAGCAATACAAAAACAATATTGGTCAGTCATATGGGTACTTTTGAACTTTTGTCTACTTGGAAGCCTTGAAGTAAAATTGCATACCGTACCAACGGTGGGGTGTGGACGCACGCATGCATGAAGTTAGCGACCGTAATGATGAATAACTCACATGAATTTATAGAGGATCTGAGATTACAGTCGCTAACTTCAGTTGCGCCCGCACCCCACCGTTGGTACGATGGACGCTAATATTGTATTGTGCAGCGGTTTGCCAGGCCATGAAACATGTGAGAAAGTGTAGATCTATATTATAAGTCTTTGTTTTGGGGGAAAATACTTCAAAAAAGATTTAAAAATTGACACAAAACAGGTAAGAAACAACTTTTAAATCATGACCATTTTCTGAACAATTGATGAAGATTGGTATGTTTTAGTAGGGTATCTGCACGCCGGAGTTACGGTTCAAAGTACATGACTATGGATATGATTCCGAGTCTGACGTCGCCTCGCGATAATCCTGTTGAGTCTTCCCAGTCTACAGATCCAGCTAGACCTAATCTGTTAAGGAATGAACTCTTTGCAGTCGTTTATTGATGAGCTATGGAAGGGCATTACAAGACATTGTCTTACTAAGGAGCCGGAGCCCGAGAAGACAGGTGAACCGTGCAGTGACAACAGGAACTAGATCTATGGTTTTAGAATCTACCGTACCACACACAAATACATGCATACGGGGCCCTGTAATGTATGTATTTTTTTTTAATCACGTTATTATCATTTTACGTAAAGATTAGAACACAGCCACACCACCTAAACATTCTTATTCACAACTGCCACATAAATGTTACAAATTCTATATCATAAACTAAATACGTACTTACAGGCCTGATTGTGACAAAGTACAAAAGAAAGGCATTCACATTCCAATCCCCATTTTTATTAGTTGCCAACGGACGCTTTATTTTACCTCATGCAATATGGATGTGTGGTCGAAACTATCCCACAATACATCACACATTGCACGCATTATTACACCCCGCGAAAACACAGTGCGAATAGGGTAACTGAGAGGAAGATTGTGCAATACCCGTGTTTACAATCGGTTTCACGTTGAGAGTGAGAGTGTGTCATTTCAAGATGAATCCACACCCATCCTCCAGTAGAGAAGAAGACACACCCTCAGGGAAACTGGATATTTGTTGCGGTATGGAGAATGTTCCTGTCTTTGCGGAGGGTGATCAGCAATTTAAATCAGATTTTGAGGTACATGTACGTCCATGCTAGCGAGTCTAATTAGAATGAGCCTGTGCCAACATCTCAGACAAAATTGTCCAGATTTAAAGCTGAGAGGACTCCCTTCGTTTTAATGTTCAGTATACTTTAAAGTTCAGCAATATGGTTAAGTGTGATCCAAATAATTCATAAACTAGTGAATGAAAGTTACAAAAACAAACTAAATAAACATTAATTTAAAAATCAAAATCATGTTATTAATTGTTAGATTTACTGAAGGTTGAGCTCATGACATGCAGATATATATATTTGTTTTCTTTTCCAGTATACTCAATCAAATGTTCTTGGTCCTGGACTGGTAGGGACAGATCCCAAAGAAGTGCAGTACTGTGGATGCTCCTGTAAAGTTTCATCTTGTGGACCATCGTGTCTTTGCCTTGAGCGGTTTGGACCAAACTACACACCTTCCGGGAAACTGCTTCAAGCTACGTCTGATCCCTTGGCAGTAACCTCAAAACCTATATTTGAATGCAATGCGTCTTGCAAGTGCGGTGAAGAATGTGTGAATCGCTTAGTCCAGCATGGCATCCATCACAAACTGGAGGTCTTTAGAACTCGTCACAAGGGTTGGGGATTGAGGGTCTTGGAGTCGATAGAGGAAAATGCCTTTATGTGCGAGTATGCTGGAGAGGTATTGACGAAGGGGGAAGCAAAGATAAGAATGCAAAATATGAGAAAGGACGACATGAACTACATATTTGTTCTCAAGGAAAACTTTGGGGGACGTAGTGCGATGGAAACTTTTATTGATGCACGGCTGAAAGGTAGCATAGCAAGGTTTATCAATCATTCTTGTGAACCAAATTTATTCTTGTGTGCTGTCCGAGTCCATAATGAAGTTCCTAGAGTGGCTATGTTTGCAAGGAGAGGCATCAAGCCTGGTGAAGAATTGAGCTACGAGTATTGTGGGAATGTGGATAGACCCAATGATGATTCAACGAAAGGAGGGACAAAGGATCTTTGTAAAAATCAACCTAGAAAGCTCTGCATGTGTGAAAATCAATCTTGCCAGAAATATCTCCCGAGTGATATGTCCATCTATTCAACATGATCAGGGCATTTTTTTTCACTTTATTTTAACTTGAGAAACACCCAACGATGGGTTGAAAACTCATCAACTAATAGATTTGTTTGAAATTTAACCATATCAGAGTGGAAATGTTTTCATTTCTTCGTTTAATTTGTTGTTAGTTACATCTTTCTCATCATCATCATCATGATACGAGGAAAGGTAGATCCTGGCATCCTGGGTCGCCTCTTCTATTCAGACAATAGAGTGGTGAAGTGTGACGTCATCAAATTTCTTCTTTTAGAATTTCTCAATTTTTTTCTTCATTTCCCGAAAAAGCATCAAAAATAATGTCCAAATGTCCAAATTGTTTTCGACATTTGGACATTATTTTTGATGCTCTTTCGGAAAATGAAGAAAAAATTGAGAAATTCTAAAAATAGATTTTCATGACGTCACAGCTTTGGTACTCTATAATCCATTAAAATTGCTGTTTACCCGGTAGTGTTTATATCACTGCAGAGGTTTTCAGGTCATCAAAATTTTAATGTACAGGGGCCGTATTCTGAAAATGATGTTAACTTTTATGTTAAGAAAAACAATGTTATTTGTAATGAGTTCATAACAAACTCAAATTGCGCAGAATAACCTTACCATGTCTCTTTTAACTTTATGCAAATGCAGCCAGCTTTGCTCAGAAATTAACCAAGGGCTTGTCCTAATTTTGATTTCATTTGACAATTTACATCATTTTACTTCCATAACAGATAACATTGTTTTCAGAATACAACCCCAGGCATTGAAGCATAAAAGTTGGGATTGATAAAACCATAGGATGGGAGTTGTAATTATGCTGCATTTATGTTTGTATCGACTTAAAAAAAAATCAGCTTTTTACGGTAAACAGAATTTCAATACCTTCAATTTAGAATTAATTTTTGTTGTTCAATTAAACATAAAATGAAAAAATGTAACCTACATGTACTTGGTGTCTTGCCCTAGATTAATTTTACCCCAAAAAAATTCAGTAACATACATTTCATCATTTATGAAGAGCCCTATACAGTTGTACATGTACTGTACAGTACATGCAATCCGTGTTCTGATGTTCTTTTCTGCTGTTTAGAGCAACATGTTGTAATTGTTTTCAAACAAATTTAATACTAGTACTGTGTAGATGTATGAATGCTTCTTCCCTCTAAAAATGAGTTGTGGGAAGAGGGATGAGAGATGAGACATATTGATTAACTATCATGTCTGTGGATTTAGGCAATGTTGGACAAGATTTGGGTCACTGAAAAGTCACTTTTAATCTAGAATTGTTTAATAGCAGATGTTGATGGATGTTGATTGGTCTGGCCCAAAAAATAGTGTTTGTAGATCAAATTTATAATTGAAATTCCACTTTCATTGTGGGATTTCAAGGGTTACTTTTACATGATTTGAAGATTTGTGATTACTAGTACTAGTAGCTGACAAGGCAAACAAGACTGAAATACAGAAGGAGGTGTGACAACTCTCACTCTAATGTACTAGCAACATACAAGTTAAAAGTATACTGTATCTATTTAAAACTACATTCATGTTACAGAAACATCTGCACAAAATGCTTTCATAAAATATTTCCCAAGTTTATTGCAAGAGTGAATTACAGAAGTACTGACAATGACCACATTAAAATAATATTGTGTTAGACACCATGCACCTTTATCAAAATAGACAATTTACAACAACATACTCAACACATAATCATTATAAGTTCATGTATAATCATTCGATTCTCCAGTATAAATTTGTTGTAAATATGGAGTCTATTAGTATATAAAAAAAATAGAAAAGAAACAAAAATTTAGTCAACATTCACCACTAGTAAACTGTAATTTCTGAATGTTAGGTCATTCCATTGTTTCCCATACATTTTAAAGTACCTGTAAAATCATGTTTTGTTAATTTGTTTACAATGACCCACACAATGTTAAGATAATACACCTGTATGTTCCTTTTGCAGCCACCATCAAATTCTGTAGAACTTTGCAGGAATTATGAATATGTCATGTATGTCCTATCTGTGAAATTTAAACGTCAGCTGTGTCCTAGTATTCAGAATATACAAGGAAACCTGTTTACTTTCTAGACTTCACTGTCAGACACTATTGAGTGACTGACATCTTTTTTTCTTTGGTAATAACATATATGTACATCAAATGGGCTGTAACAGGTACATGAGCATTTGTCTACCGGTACATCAATAACCCACTAAATGGCCAAAATTAAACTGATAAATCTTTGTGCAGCACAAAACGTACAACCATTCTGTACAAAAGTCTGAAAATCAGACTATTACTAATTACTTACATGTAGGTGATTGTAATCACTAAGTTATGTCGATGCGACAGCTAATGGTTGTTATTTCCCACAAAAAGCCTTTTCAAACCTTTTTGTTTTGAGGGAAGTTCTAAATTGAAGTATTGTCTTTCAAATGCTGTTAGAATTTGACCTTTTCATTTTTTTTAACCTGCAAATGGAACATACTACCTTTAAGTCTTAACTATAATAATACCGGTACGGTAGTACAATGTATGACCTACATACCGTTACTAGAAAAAATGTATACTTGTATAAGGTTTCTAATAAAAGTTTAAACATCGATTGTACATGTGAAAATCTAATCGAGACTTTTCAACAACATGACCACTAAAATAATTGTCAAACAGAAATCCCTTGATCAATTAACAAACCCCAGGGTGCAATCAATCAAGTTCCTGAATTGGTCATATATAAGAAAATCAATACATTTTTATCAATCTTGTGGAAATAATTGATGGAGGGAGGGAAAATTTGAATTGTTAATCGTGATATTCAAACCCTTACAGTGAAACAAAGGATACACATTTGTTTCCAAATAAATAAATAAAATCTCTGGGACAAGTTTCAATCAATGCCACCTTTAACATTATTGAAATAAACATGACAATCATACTCATCCTTCCTAACTTCACAATGCTTAAAATCCGTCTTAAATTCCAAGAACACGGACAAGCTTTTCTTTGTCCAAAAACATATTATGCAATATATAATTTGATCTGCATAAACTGCCTTCAGCACTGAGGATTTTACATGGAAAGGGGTGATGATTACTGTTACATGATTTTAAAGAGTTACATGTATACACTGTGTGTGTACAATTAGTCTGTGATCAATTCGTACACTGACTTAATTCCTATTAACTTCAACCCTTGACCAAACACTATACCTAACCCTAGCCCTAAACTTCACCCAAAAACCTTATTGCAAGTAATGCTAACCCCTCACTTTTCTTTTGACAATTAAATCCTAGAAGAATTTTTACAGGAGCAAATTTTTGATAACTTACCAGTACATGTAATGTAAAAATAAATAAAGTATGAAAACGAAAAATGAAATATTTCACTCTGCCTTTCAATTAATAAATTATTGTTATACCAAGTACCCCCAATGCTAGAATCATCTTCTCCCATCTATCTCTTGCACAAACCCTTTCACTTTGTGTCCAAGATCGAATCTGAGTTGCTTGTACACTATTAAACATGTATTACACTAGTTAGATACATGTTTGAACTTTGAAACATAAAATGAATATCGTTTGGTCGCAGCATACATGTACATGAATTTTAATATTGCTGTTGAAGGCCACTATGGCAATCCATCATACAAAATATACACTAGTACATCATACATGTACGTAACTTGATTGAAATTTTCACTGAAGGCAAACAGTACGGTAGACAAATATTGATTACATCCAGCGTTTGCGTGCCATGTAAAGAAGCAATATTTATCAACATTGATTTGTCTGCAAACTCTTCATATGTTGTCATTTGGGTAATTGCAGTACATGTACAAGAATTACTTCTACATATAGTACTGCTTTTATTTAGGATAGAAAACAATTTTTTTAAGGTTGGGGGGGGGGGGGGGGGAGAGATTATGTTCGAATATATCCATATTTTATTACATGGATTAGAGAACATTAAACAACTAAATTATGTTAGGACCAAATATCACGTATCAAAGGGAACAAACAGTGTTAGTAAAGGTCATTCATTCATTTATTGTCTCGGGTCTAACCAATGATTATTTTGTTTAACTTGAAAAATAAGAAAAGCAGTCTTATATGTCAACGAGTCCATATATATATGAAGTGCTTAGTGTCAACCTCATCATTATATGTTTATATTACCCTCATTCTGTAACTAAATGATTTTACAAAATCATGCCACCATGAATTTTTTTTTCACTTACACAAGTTTAAAAAATTTGTTGAATCATTTACTGGTACTTGTAAAATTATAGTGTACATGTATACACATGGAATAGAGAGATTGACACATGCTCTTGTATCAATCAGTGGACTAAGATCAGTTAGTTTAACTTCAGCTGCTTTCAAGAATACAGACCTTAATCTTTACATACAGCTACCCATTACAACCATTCTAGGACAACCAAAAATTGCTACCTGTGTCTTATGTCCAACAGACCTACATCAACTAAATTCTAACAATTCTTATTATCAACCCTGACCATACACTTTATCTAACCATAAAATCAACCCTGAACCTTAACCTTACCCAAAACCCAAATATTGAACCTAACCCTAAAGAATGACTTTGAGAAATATCAGGTGACCTTTAAAAATGAGAAGAAAGGTAGTCTTTAGGGGAAGATTCTTTCTTTGGAGGCGACAGCTGTAACACATGTAACTGGAGTAGGAAGTATCAAGGTGTAGAGTCGTTGCAATTGTTGCAGGGGATATCTTCAGGGAGGTTGGTTGCAGCACACCTGAAGCCCAGATTGCAAGCAGAGCTGTCTGGACTGTTCTGACTACGTGCTTCACAACGGTACCTGTAGCAGTAAGACTGAGACAAAGACAGAAACAGAATTACTTATATTGGAAAATATGAAAGATTCAAATATATATATGTGTATTAGTCTTTCGTGGAAGTTTGACATATACCTGTAAGACATAAGAGAAGACGATTTATACAAGACGGCTTTGTACTGACCTTCCAGCACTATGTGCATCCCTACATACATGTACATGAAAGTAATGCACATTATATTACTAAACTGGAGAAGTACAGAATAGTCACCTTACACCCAACATACAGTACTTTATAAACAGTCACCATTTTTTTTCTTCATGAAAATATGCAGGTATTTTTTTTGTATGAGGATTTTCTGTTATAAACACTACAACAGACAAATGAACCCATTCAAAGAGCAAACTGCCAAAAATAACAATTTCTGCTGGTACATATAATGCATATACTGCACTGTCACATATTTTCATGCTAATATTTCTGTCTTTCTCTTTCCATCTTTCTCTTCATATATCTATCTCTCTTCTTTCAACTGTATCTACCTCTCACCCTCCTAATTTTTATAACATTCTCTATTCTTTTTCTATTGTTTCTCTTTGGCCATGACCCAAAACCGTGCAACACACTTTCCTTCTACTATCGACATAAATCAATCTATCACAACCTCTTCCTTGCAATGCACATCATATATCACTACTCACAATGTGGCACATGTATGATCCTCCTTTCTTGACTTTATCTGTACCTTCATCAGGGCCAACCTGCAATTGCAACAACAGCAAAAAGTAAATTAATCATGTTGTAATAAGAGGGGGAAAACTTCATTATACATGTGCAAACATATGAACCCTAAGACACAATACTTCCAACAGCAAAAAATGAAAGGTTTTTATGTCTTTAGAACACAGTTTTGATCTTGTGATTTCACAATGCTATATTTGTGCTATCAAGTTTTGCTCTAAAAAATGATTCTTAAATATGATCATATATGCATTTCTTTTTATTGTTATATTCTTTTTAAATGGTATAAAGTGTATTCCAGTCAACTTACAGGGTTGTTTTGAGATTCAGGACTGTGTACTGTGTTCCACCAGTCTGCTACCCATTCCCATGCATTACCTACTGTGTTATATAAGCCATAGCCATTGGGTTCAAATGCTGTTACCTGTATGCAAGAAAGAAAATTAGATGAAATCACACAATAAGTTCATCAATAAGTAGCTTGAGATACTTTGAAGGTACAATCTTAATTTTTAGGTTATGAGAAATATTGCTTGAGCTGGCAATATCATGTAGATTTTTTTTCTCAACAAACTATGCCTATTAACTATGCCTATGTAACAAACAATTACCATCAAATTGCATTCACGTAATGAAAAACCTAATGATGACATTCAAATTTCTCTTATGATAATTTTGTTTTCTTTCATACAAATCATTACAAAGTAAATCCACAGACATCTGAAATAACATGTTGCTACCAGTACCTGCACAATTGTGGGAAGACTAGAAAACCCATCAGTCAAAGCCAATGGGAAACAAATCTTCATTTATAATAATGCAATGATCATCTTTTAAGCAAACATATTAATGGTGTATGGTGACTATTCAGTGTGGCAGTATTAAAGCAACAGATTTTTTTTTTTAATACAGTGCACAATATCTACAATTTCTTATATATATTAGTTTGGTAATTACCAACACTTTTTTCCCTCCAATTATTTGCCGAGTCGGTAACGGGTTAGTATATAGATATGACTGAGAAAATTATAGATTATAGATTATAGACTTAACTCCAGTTTGTTGACGATCAGCCATGCATCAAGTCTTTCATCTTCTTTGTGCATGGCTGATCGTCAACGAAATGGAGTTAAGTCTTTTGTCAACTCTGTTTGTTGCTACGGCAGGCAGCAAGTGAAAACGAATTTGAAAGAGGATCTAAGCTTTACAAATATGTGTCATTTATTAATTATAATTGTGATTCAGTTATGATAAAACATTAATAATTCTCGGTTTCGTTTTTTCTGGGACGCATTGTATATTTCACATCAGTGTGTAAACTATTATACCCCCTCCCCCCCCCCCCCCCCCAAAAAAAAAAAAAAAAAAAAAATCCCCATAGAAGTGGCACTTGTACATTATCTGAGCTACATTAATTAATATATCAGCACCCTCCCTCATCATGAACATTATTGTTGATATTATCATTATCATTATCATCAGTAGTAATACTAGTATCTTTGCCTATAACTATTATCATTACCATCATCATCATTAATGTTATTAATATTAAAAAAACCTTGTAATACTTACGGGGCATGTTCCTTCATAACCATCCTCTGCAGTATTGACTTTAGGGAATTCCCCTTGCCAAATGTTGACCCTATGATGATCTTTGGGCATCAGTTTGTTACCCCAAGGAAAAAGCCTGCAAACATTTCAGAGAAATCAGAATGAAAATCTATAGAGCTGTCATACTAGACCATGGGAAGCAATAAAATTGGCCACTTGGCCAGTGACGCATTAAAATATGTTGTCGAGTCTGTCATTTAGTGGTCACCTATAATGCCTACCTCTATTGAAGAAATGTGTAATAGCACATCTATATAGCCTAGTAAACTTCAGAATGTATTGAGTTAAGATCAGAACCTATGCTCATCAAATCGTAAATCTGCATGCATGTGTCATTATATGCATCCAGATAATGTAAATAGATGATTGATTAAAAGATCAGATTCTATGCAGATTCATTTACGTTTCCAAGTGAAGAAGATGTTTACCTATTGTTGAGGCCTCCGCGTGCAGCATTCTCCCATTCAGCTTCTGTGGGTAATCTCTTCCCAGCCCACTGGCAGTATGCTGTAGCATCATTCCAAGACATATGGGTTACAGGATGGTCCATCCTGACAGATTTTTTAAAAACAATAAAGGAATATATTTATGAATAAAAATAGAAATAGGACTGACCAAACATTATCTTCAATTTTGGGGAGAAGCTTTTGCCAAGATATATTTGTATTTATTCAAAACATCTTCTTAACTTTAAACCTTAAAAGCCAGTCAAATGGCATACATGTATGTTGTCTCTCCTGCACATAGCAATTTGCATCTCGGTTTAGACTGGAACATTCAAGACAAAAAATGGAAGTGAGAAAATGAAAATTCAAAACTTGAGATAAAGTGAATTAAGATGTGAAAAAAATTCAAATACACTGTAAACTAATGAATAAGAGTTGATACTTGATAGGGCTTTAGTGTTTGAATTCAGAAGAGTAAATCCATAAATGGAGGGTTAACATTTTTTAAACAAAATATTATAGCCTCTAGTCACATCCCTCACAGCAGATTAAATCTTCAGTATCAAATAAAAATTAATCATTCTTGACCCCTTATATGGCAAGTATTTCATCAGTAATCAGTCAATTTTGGGGTCAGTCTTGCAAAGAGGCTGAGTCCTCAAGGTTACCACCAAGGCAGCTTTCTTACCTTGAAGAGATACTAGAGTCTGGCCCTTCAGGATGCCTCCATTCAGCTCCTTTGACTGGAAGCCACCAGGGTGCTGCAGCAACCTGTCAATCAAGGTACATGTATGAAGAAAAACACAAATTACAAACATGAAATAAAATAATTATTTATGGAAATAATAATTTGCAGGATAATATACTCCAATGCCATAATGGTACTAATTTCATGTCTATTTGTATCTCATGAGCCAAGCAGAGTTAGCTGATGGCTTATGCTGCAGATATTAGTGAAGTGAATGTCTTAGCAAATCGACTTATAAACTCACAGTTCAAGTCCTAGTAGATATATATTTTACACCGGTTAAAATACAAAACCTATTTTGTTTAGTGATATTGACTGCATGCTATACTATCTAAGTTTGGTTTAATACATCAGACTAAAGTAACTGTAATCAGAATACTCAAAGACCTTTAACACAGAGACCAAATGCACTTACTACTTGAGAAATATCCTTCTTAACTTCTTCACTTATCCTTGCTTCTAGGACAAAAGAATCTCCAAATTTCTCAGCCTGTAAATAAGAAAAATAATAAGACAAATACTAATATATTGAAATAGCAAAAAAAGACATGAAATATAATATATAACAATGTGAAACTAAATCTGAAGAAGAAAAACAAAAACAGCTAGAACTTATATATTTGAAAAACATATGAAATCACAACACTAGATCTAGCTGATCTACAACTACAAGTACACCATTATCTCTAGACTAAATCTGTTAAATGCACTTTGTCCAGTAAGATAACATTGTGTGAAGGTACATGTAACATGATCAGAAAAACGTAGCCTTAAGGGCTTGGTGAATTATGAAATATGATGTTGATATCAATATCGTATACATTCAAAGTCTAGATCTACTTGTAATTTAAATTTATTAACATTATAATTGCATTTAATTAAATTCAAAATGTATTCCTTTTGTTTTTGCAATGAAATGGATGATGCAACAAAACTTCTGATTTCAATGATTACCTCTGTTACATAACTGGTTGTGTTGACGAACAATTCAAACTCAGAATTGCTGACTTCATACACATCAAAATAGTACGGATCCAGGGTCACTAATCGAGATGGACTTTCACCATCCAGATAGATCTTGGCCTTATCCGTCCCCATTTGAAATGTTCCTCCTTCAATAAAATTCATTTGATTTGTTCTTGGAAAGGCAGCAACATTTGCTTGAGGATGGTCTATTGGATCATTCGCCTCCCTGGAGTATTTCAAGGCAGCTTCTTCTTGCACATGATCATGTGAATTTTCTTCCAGGGCAAGGGCATCTTCGTCATGGTTCCTGTTCAGAGCAGACGACCCGCAGCCACAGCCTCCTCCTGCTCCTTCGCTCGTCGGATCACTGTCTATCTCTTCGCCCCCAGCTTCGGCCAACTCCTCCTCAGTGGTTGCGGTGGTTACTGACTGCGTCGGAGATATATTTTGATTCACATCTTCATTTTTCGCACTGCCCTGAATAACCACTAGGGCTAAAAGCAAAACAAAGATACCACGTGTGTACTTCATCGCGGCTCAAACAAATGATACTGCAAGAACTAGAGATTACTAGCACCTGCACTTAATTGCACCAGATCTACGTCTACGCGCCGAGGTTCAAGAGGATGCACAAAAAATACGATGCAATGCAATGGGCGTGCCTAGCTATACAGCGCTAGCGCATGCACGATCGAATTATACACATTACCTATAGCATAGTGTCTTGTGATCCTCACAAGTGAGAAAATGTAGCAAACAAATTATCGAGTTGTGGTGTGAAATTCTATGGTATCTTTAAGATATTTTTTTTAGGGGCGGGGGCGTACAGGAGAGAACGTTTAATCTGATGTTTTAGACACATACTAGGAAGTGAATCAGGAGATTATAACTACTTATGCTATACTCTGTAGAAAACGCGTACGCAAGGGGGAGGGGGGGGGGGGTTGGGGTTAGACCCCCCCTCAATGTTTCTGAAAAAAAGTTTAAAAAGCTTCTTTTTTTGCTAGGGGGGGGGGGTCGTTTAGAAATTAGATATCACGACTACATATTCTGAGATTTTCATGGTCGCAGCTACCATCGTACGGCCGTATTAGGCGCTATTTGAAATTTATCATAATTTACCGGGGGCACCGCCCGGCCCCCCCCCCCACTCAGTGTTATTTAGGGTACGCATATGCTCGTTCCCTCTTTTTGAAAGCACCCCCTATCTGAGGACTGCCAACATTTCCGAACCCCCCTTTCGCTGGCTTTTCACGGGCTTTTCCTGCCTTGGAGACCCCCCTAAATCAGGAAAAATGCTCAATGTACCCCCCTAAATTCTCAGGAGTCCAAAGAGATGAGAGAAAAAAAGGAAAAACACCCCCTTTTTTAAAGAAATCTCCGGGTGAAAAGTCAAATACAACCCTTTTTTTTTACAATTCTCGGGCCGGACTTTGTCGCACGAAAAGGACCCCTTTACCGGATATTTTGGCAACACGCGTGCGGTCATTCCGACCCCTGAGTGGGGGGGCCGGGGAACACCGGTAAATTTTTTAGATTCAATTTTTCTCGAAAGCAGAAGTGTTTTAGGGGTTAAATTTTCTAGTGCTTATAATACATCCACAGGGGCATCCAAATATATCAAAATTGTAAAGAACCACTATCCACCCAATTTCAAAATTTTCCAAAACTTTGTATTACCTTTAATACGTTTTTACGTGTGGCGTTATACCTATTAATAAAAGCATGGTCCGTGATAAAAGGCTCAGACATTGTACAAGAAAAGAAAGGAATGCAAAAACTTAAGATTATATACATAATAGTTAACATTGATTCAAAATATGGCACATTAATTGTCGTCAATTTCTTGAAACATAGCAAAGGCTAATTATGAATTAATAAAAATTAGTCATGCTGTGACAAAATCATTTGCCCTGCACCGCCCCCTCTCTCTTTACAAAATCACTAACGCCGCTTTGCTCAATCGCACTTGTGCCCAAATTTTTCTTAAAATTTCTGCTAATTTAAGTCGAACTTAACTCTAATTTGGACTTAAATATTATGGAGAGCCATTTGTAGCCTTATGATGAAATATATTCAATAGCAACATTTCAAGTATTTTAGACTTTTCATACATTCCACATCAAGAACATGAAATCTCCCATGATAATGGAAAATATGAATGATTTGAATCAACATTTGATGCCTTTTAAAATAACTTTTACAAAATATTTTCGAGGATGTTATAACGGCATTCCATAATTGTTAAGTCCAACTTAGAGATAAGTTCAACTTAGGATCTTTGTGAAACACCCCCCCTGCACTCCAAACCCAGGTCGAAATTCCAGTTGATACCAGTTGAAACCAGTAAGGATTTCCAACTGGTATCTACTGGTTTGAACTGGTTTGAACTGGTCTCAACTGGTCTCAACTGGTCTTAACTGGTACCAGTTGATACCAGTTGATACAATTTGGAAACCAGTAGAAATACCAGTTGACATCTGAGACCAGTTGATATTACCAGTTGATTTACCAGTTGAAACCAGTAGATGATTACCAGTTGATTTACCATTTGAAAACCAGTATGGTTACCAGTTGATTTACCAGTTGAAAACCAGTAGATGATCACCAGTTGATTTACCAGTTGAAAACCAGTAGATGATTACCAGTTGATTCCAGTTGAAAACCAGTAGATGATTACCAGTTGAAAACCAGTAGATGAGTACCAGTTGAAAACCAGTAGATGATTACCAGTTGATTTACCAGTTGAAAACCAGTAGATAATTACCAGTTGATTTACCAGTTGAAAACCAGTACGAATACCAGTTGATTTACCAGTTGAAAAACCAGTTCAATGTATCTTATGAATATTCATGATTTGCATGTTTTCACAGAAAATATAATTATCATGATCTTTCAAGCAAATGTGACAATGCACATACATTTTGTGATTTACATTTTCTTAGTTAATTATTGACAAATATATTACACATGTCTGATCATGTTTTTCATCTGATTTAAGACGTAAAATGAGATATATTGATATATATGTAATTACTAACCAGAAATAAAGTGTATAAATTTGTATATATGTATGCACAAACAGTATATGTCAAATCACTCAATACACATCTGTAATCTACTTCGAATGATCATTGTGATGGGGTAATTGCAAGAGTTAGTATATGTGGTCAAGTTGGTGGCCAGATGCTAATAATGATTATTGATTCTCAGTTGATTGATTACTGGATAATCATCTGAAAAATCAACTGGTAATTGAACTGGTAAATCAACTGGTAATTGAACTGGTAAATCAACTGGTCTCAGTTAGCGTTGTTTCAATTTCCATATTAAAAACCAGTTGAATCTAACTGGTTTCAACTGGTACCAGTTGACTTACTGGTTTTAACTGGTACCAGTTGCCTACTGGTTTTCAACTGGAATTCCGACCTGGGAATCAAGCAGATCACAAGAACAAGGTTCGGTAGGCCTATAAATTTTCATGAGACTGTGTTCTGATCGACTTTCAGTGACCAAGCCTCGATCCAAGGGCCCCATCAGTCATGAAGTTGTGTTGTGAAAAAAGGGGGAGGGGAGAAGCACTCGATCGCATTTATGCAATTTGATTATTGGTACCCATTTGTTAAAACAAGTTATCTTTAAAAAATTGCTTTGTCCAAGTATCTTAAAATCTCAGTCAGAAATGGGCAAAGAATTGTTGTTGTTGTTGTGGTTTAAAATGGATAATCTCACATTGAAAGGCATTTATATCAGGAAAATTCAATGATCTTCCCACCTTTATACCAAATAGTGTAACCACTTGTGTGAGAGCGCTATATAAATGAACATATTATTATTATCATTAATGAACATAATTACCTCGGACTCGAAGTTTCTACCTTGATCAGAGTGCAAGCACTCAATGCATCATAGTCTAACCGTAAACGGTGCATCCAAGCACTGTTCATGTCTGCAAAATTTACAGTTTATATCAATGAAAATCTATAAATTGAATTCTTACAAAAAATTTAAAAAAACTTTAGAAATGTGTTAACAAATCCTAGTTTCTTTGGTTTGAAACAGCTGATCGCACTTTCTAAATGGTATTCTGGTTTGACTTAAAATTAAATGTTCACAAACGATGGCATGGCTCGACTCGTTACGTGAGGGAAATCCCAGTTATTCCACGCGCACGGTACGGTTGAACACTCACGTTTCATAGACTTTTGATCGATAACTTCAGTTTGCGGCGCTAAAGGTACTCTGTAGCCCAACGTTTCGGAGCAGAAAGAAAGGGAGGAAAACACATTAATCTGCGAAAATATACACTTTATGTACCACTTATAGTGGGGTATCTAATGGTGTAGATTCTTTTGGCTTTTGTTCTGCTCTGGTGTGTCATTTTAAGTTCTGTTTTTCACAATAAAAATGTCTGCTTTTCATTCACTGCCAGAGGACTTCCATCACATTGAACTCAATAAAACGATATGGGAAGTCCCCAATCGGTATGTGCGACTGGAACCTGTGGGCTCAGGAGCGTATGGGCAAGTATGGTAAGTTGAAGGTGTAAAATATTTGATTCACTATGACTAGGCACTTTTATTTTATTTATTAACACCCAATACCCTTTTGCAGGCCAAACAAAATTAAAAGGTTAAATTCCAACAGCAATTGAAAGACAATCTCAAACAAATTCAGAACTTCTCGGCCTCGATACGAAAGCGGAAAGGGCTTGAAAATGGATTTGACTTAGTCTTAAGTGATTGCGTTGTTTATGTTGTTTCAGTGATTATTGCTGTGTTTTATTCATAAATGAATATTTACTAGCCGCAATCACCTAAGTAATAGTCTGATTTTCAGACCCTTTTACCGTATGGTCTTACGTTTTGTGCTACACAAAGATTTCAATTACTTTCATTTTGGCCATTACAAGTTATTGATGTAGACAAATGCTCATGTACTGGCCTGCAGTAGTAGTAGCTGTACAGCTCATTTTATGTAGACTCTATGTTTTTACCAAAGAAAAACAGATGTCAGTCAGGTGAGTCAGTCACTCTAGACTATAGACTGTCAGACAGTGAAGTCTGGTATTAGTGGAAGTACTCTAGTCTAGAAGGTAAACACTTAAAACAGGTTTCCTTGCATAATTTGAATACTAGGACACTGCTAATATTTAAATTTCACAGATAGGACATGCATTGGCTTAACTTTAACATATTCATAATTCCTGCAAAGTTCAACAGAATTAGATGTTGACTGCAAAAGGGACATAAGTCTACGTCTAGTATCTTTAAATGATGTTTGGCTGAACACTGCTGAAGAAGCAGCCATGGTCGAGTGGTTTAAGGCGCTTGACTGTAGATGGGAAGGTCGAGGGTTTGAATCCCGGCACAGCACTAATAATATCCTTTGGCAAGATATTATTACCTAGTAACCTACACTTGCTACTCTCCACCCAGGTGTTAAAATGGGTACCCGGTAGGATGCGACCGACATTGTTGGTCAAACAGTTTTTGAACGTCAAGTAACGCCTGGCTGGAATGCCCCCAGGGAGTGGAGATTATGCACACAATGTGTGCGGTCAAGCACTGAATCCAATGACCGGGGTAATAGTATATCTGTTACACCCTCAGAGACGTCCGAGATGTATTAAGCGATACATAAAAGCTGAATATTATTATT